GTGTGGGGGCTGAAGGGCCGGACACTGGCGTCAGGGAGGGTGTGGGGCTAGAACACGGACACTGGCGTCAGGAGGTGTGGGGCTAGAGAGACGGACACTGGCGTCAGGAAGTGTGAGGCTAGAGACACGGACACTGGCGTCAGGAGAGTGTGGGGCTAGAGACTGGGCCTGGCGTCAGGAGAGTGTGGGGAGACTAGAGAACACGGACACTGGCGTCAGAGTGTGGGGCTAGAGACACGGACACACTGGCGTCAGGAGAGTGGCAGGGCTAGAGACACGAGACACACTGGCGTCAGGAGAGTGTGGGGGCTAGAGACGGACACTGGCGTCAGGAGAGTGTGGGGCTAGAACCGCGGACACTGGCGTCAGGAGAGTGTGAGGCTAGAAGAGGCGGACACTGGCGTCCGGAGAGTGTGGGGGCTAGAGACACGGACACTGGCGTCAGGAGAGTGTGGGGCTAGGAGCACGGACACTGGCGTCAGGAGGTGTGGGGCTAGAGACACGGACACAGCGTCAGGAGGTGTGGGGCTAGAGGCACGGACACTGGTCAGGGAGGTGTGGGGCTAGAACACGGACACTGGCGTCAGGAGGTGTGGGAGCTAGAGACACGGACACTGGCTCAGAGTGTAGGGCTAGAAGACACGGACACTGTCAAGGAGAGTGTGGGGCTAGAGACACACGGACACTGGCGTCAGGGAGTGTGGGGCTAGAGACGGACACTGGCGTCGGGAGGTGTGGGGCTAGGAACACGGACACTGGCGTCAGGAGGTGTGGGGCTAGAGACACGGACACTGGCGTCAGGAGAGTGTGGGGCTAGAAGACACGGACACTGGCGTCAGGAGAGTGTGGGGCTAGAGAGACGGACACTGGCGTCAGGAGGGGTGTGAGGCTGGGGCACGAGGACACTGGCGTCAGGAGAGTGTGTGGGGCTAGAACACGGACTGGCGTCAGGAGGTGTGAGGGCTAGAGACACGGACACTGGCGTCAGGAGAGTGTGGGGCCTAGAGACACGGACACACTGGCGTCAGAGTGTGGGGCTAGAGACACGGACACTGGCGTCAGGAGAGTGTGTGGGAGCTAGGAACTTGGACACACTGGCTCAGGAGAGTGTGGGGCTAGAGACACGGACACTGGCACGTCAGGAGAGTGTGGGGCTAGAAGACACGGACACTGGCGTCAGGAGAGTGTGGGACTAGAGAGACGGACACTGGCGTCAGGAGAGTGTGGGGCTAGAGACGCACGGACACTGGCGTCAGGGGAGAGTGTGGGAGCTAGAGACACGGACACTGGCGTCCGGGAGGTGTGGGGCTGAGGTACGGACACTGGCGTCAGGAGGTGTGGGAGCTAGAGACACGGACACTGGCGTCAGGAGGTGTGGGGCTAGGAACACACGGACACTGGCGTCAGGAGAGTGTGGGGCTAGAAGACACGGACACTGGCGTCAGGAGGTGTGGGGCTAGAACACGGACACACTGGCGTCAGGAGAGTGTGAGGGCTAGGAACACGGACACTGGCGTCAGGAGGTGTGGGGGGCTACAGAGACACACGGACACTGGCGTCAGGAGGGGTGTGGGAGCTAGAGACGGACACTGGCGTCAGGAGGTGTGGGGCTAGAGACACGGACACTGGCGTCAGGAGAGTGTGAGGCTAGAACACGGACACTGGCGTCAGGAGAGTGTGGGGCTAGAGACACGGACACTGGCGTCGGGAAGTGTGAGGGCTAGAGACACGGACACACTGGCGTCAGGAGTGTGTGGGGCCTAGAGGGCTTGGGGCCTGGCGTCAGGAGAGTGTGGCAAGGGCTAGAGAGACGGACACTGGCGTCAGGAGGGTGTGGGGCTAGAACGCACGGACACTGGCGTCAGGGAGAGTGTGGGGAGCTAGAGGGCAGTGAGCTGGTGTTTGCTGTTCATTCCTAATAATGTACCAAAATAGTAGGTTGTATTGTGTGCGTCTGCATACACCCAGACAATCCAGGCTCACAGTGGTGTAGTTAGTGTCAAGGTGATGGATACACAGTGTTGGTGGTGTCAGTGGTATGGGTGGGTGGAGGGCCGGAGTAGTGGTGGCAGTGTGTGACTGTGTGGGTGGGTGGAGGGCGGAGTATTGGAGTGGCAGTGTATGACTGTGGGTGGGTGGAGGGCCGGAGAAGTGGTGGCAGTGTATGACTGTGTGGGTGGGTGGAGGGTGGGTGGAGGGCCGGGTAGTGGTGGCAGTGTGTGACTGTGGGTGGGTGGAGGCCGGGTATTGGTGGCAGTGTATGACTGTGTGGGTGGGTGGAGGGCCGGAGAAGTGGTGGCAGTGTATGACTGTGTGCTTGGGTGGGTGGAGGCCAGGTATTGGTGGCAGTGTGTATGACTGTGTGGGTGGGTGGAGGGCCGGGTATTGGGTGGCAGTGTATGACTGTGTGGGTGGGTGGAGGCCGGAGTAGTGGTGGCAGTGTATGACTGTGTGTGTGGGTGGGTGGAGGGCCGGAGAAGTGGTGGCAGTGTATGACTGTGTGCTTGGGTGGGTGGAGGGCCGGGTAGTGGTGGCAGTGTATGACTGTGTGGGTGGGTGGAGGGCCGGGTATTGGTGGCAGTGTATGACTGTGTGGGTGGGTGGAGGGCCGGAGTAGTGGTGGCAGTGTATATGACTGTGTGGGTGGGTGGAGGGCCAGATATTGGTGGCAGTGTATGACTGTGTGGGTGGGTGGAGGGCCGGAGTATTGGTGGCAGTGTATGACTGTGTGGGTGGAGTGGAGGGTGGGTGGAGGGCCGGAGTAGTGGTGGCAGTGTATGACTGTGTGGGTGGGTGGAGGCCGGGTATTGGTGGCAGTGTATGACTGTGTGGGTGGGTGGAGGGCCGGGCGTGGTGGCGTGCCATGACTGTGTGGGTGGGTGGAGGGCCGGAGTAGTGAGTAACAGTGTATATGACTGTGTGGGTGGGTGGAGGGCCGGAGTATTGGTGGCAGTGTATGATGACTGTGTGGGTGGGTGGAGGGCCGGAGTAGTGGTGGCAGTGTATGACTGTGTGTGTGGGTGGGTGGAGGGCCGGAGTATTGGTGGCAGTGTATGACTGTGTGGGTGGGTGTGGAGGGCCGGAGTATTGGTGGCGTGTGAGCTGTGTGGGTGGGTGGAGGGTGGGTGGAGGCCAGGTAGTGGTGGCAGTGTATGACTGTGTGGGTGGGTGGAGGGCCGGAGTAGTGGTGGCAGTGTATGACTGTGGGTGGGTGGAGGGCCAGGTATTGGTGGCAGTGTGCTTGACTGTGTGGGTGGGTGGAGGGTGGGTGGAGGGCCGGAGTATTGGTGGCAGTGTGTGACTGTGTGTGGGTGGGTGGAGGGTGGGTGGAGGGAGGGCCGGAGTAGTGGTGGCAGTGTATGACTGTGTGGGTGGGTGGAGGAGCCGGAGTATTGGTGGCAGTGTATGACTGTGTGTGGGTGGGTGGAGGGCCGGGTAGTGGTGGCAGTGTATGACTGTGTGGGTGGGTGGAGGGCCAGGTATTGGTGGCAGTCTTGTGACTGTGTGGGTGGGTGGAGGGCAGGTATTGGTGGCAGTGTATGACTGTGTGGGTGGGTGGAGGGTGGGTGGAGGGGGCAGGTAGTGGTGGCAGTGTATGACTGTGTGGGTGGGTGGAGGGCCGGAGTATTGGTGGCAGTGTATGACTGTGTGGGTGGGTGGAGGCCGGAGTATTGGTGGCAGTGTATGACTGTGTGTGTAGATTGGGTGGAGGGGTGGGTGGAGGGCCGGAGTTGTGGTGGCAGTGTATGACTGTGTGGGTGGGTGGAGGGTGGAGGGCCGGGTAGCTTAACGATGGCAATATGGATTTACCATTTATAACGAAAAGGAATTACGTCCCCTTGTAATCTTGGTTTACGAGTGGTCATACTCACCCCTGACATTCACTGCTGGTGGTCGTTGATGTCTACTTGTGGTTGACCTCTCCCGGACTATTGTTGACTTGGTGAGGGACTGAAGGGGTTAGGTTAGGTTAGGTCCTACGCCTTGAGGAGCTATAGGTATAATTATGTGAAAGATGTATCAAAATAGTGATAATTTTAAGCCAGAATAGTCACACCACATCAATATATTACATTCCATCAATATATTCCCCTTTTGACTCCACCATCAACGTAACCAAACCAAACATAACGTCACAACTGTACTAGCCATTAACGTGACACAGGCCATGTATACAGCCTAGCCAACCGCGCCAAAACTTCATCACCTCATCACACTCCTGACTTATTTTGGGTCTTGCTGCTCCTGCTACTTATAATGTGTTAAGCAGGACAGAGTACGGAAGCGTGACATTAACTTTGGTGTTATGTGCGTAATGTTAGCAGTAGTCGACATCTTGGAGTGTGTGTAATTAAGTAGCTTTGGTTAACTCAGTCTACACACACTCCAGATTGTCTAGGTGCATGCAGGCTGGTCTCCCTAGTCCTGTTAACTCATGAGTTTTTTTTTATTATATTTAAAACCCTTTTCCTGTTTTTATTCAGGATACCGTACATAACATATTTTACCACCAACTATTGAACTCGGTCATACATAGAGACTTTTACATTGAATAAATAATAATAAACGGGAGAATAGGCGTAGTGCGTCCTGGCATTTTTTAAGGTACAGCAGAAGACAAATTAATAATTATATTTGGATTTCTTGGTGTACTTAGGTTAAGAATGAATTAATTTTAATATCTATAAGAGAGAAAGTGTTTTTTGTCAGTTTATTAAATATTTGTGTTTTCCATTAAGCCTATGTATAATAATGTACAGTCTGATAAACAATCATTACAAAGCCTATATATAGTAATGTACAGTGGTTATTATAGTGAACATATTGTAATGTACAGTGGTTGTTATAGTGAACATATAGTAATGTACAGTGGTTGTTATAGTAAGATATAGTAATGTAATCAGACATGGAGCGATTACATCGGTAATGTAATCGATTACGATTATATGATGTGTAATCATGATTACTTCAAAAGGAGTGTGCATAAATAAACGAGCGTACATTACTACAAAACCTAATTTTACTGTACTGTTTGTCAACCTGTTACAATTAAATCATATTTCCTGAGATGAAAAAGGTAGACATAATGCATTACACATTATGGTGCTGGCGTTTAACAAACAAAAAATACAATCTTTAATATTATGGAAATTATAAATAAAGAAATGTATCTGGCCTAAGTAACTGCGAAATGTTCTCAAAGTTTTGAAATATTATTAACACAAATGCTTAGAAGAGGATAGTAATTTAGCGTTCTGATAAAATTAAATGTTTGGTATACTGCATACCCAGATATACCTAAGACATTACTTTCAGTAAATGTAGATTATCAAAACAATAATGTAATTTTAAATTTCAAATTTAACAATCACTTTTCATGTGGATTAAATAACTTAATATCCTGTAAATGTTTTCCAGAAGAGTCATGAATACTGTACAGGGTGTCCATAAATGATTACCCTGATTAAAACATGAGAGCATTCTTTTTTTATGGTAATAATTTATGGACACCCTGTAGTTTGAATACCTGAATAGCCAAACCTCATTATGTTCATTTCCATAATGTGTATACGAAAATGTTTGTCTCATATTTCAACTTTCAAGTCTTTTCAACTTGCAAAAAGTATTATAATATACACCTCGCCCTTTGAGCGTGTTTATCACATGGACACTGGAACAACAACTGAGTAACTGGGTGGCAGCAGGCAGGACCAGGGCAGCCTCACCCTCTCGTGTACTGTACAGGAAAGTCAACAGTGTGGATACTGGGTGCAAGGGCTGGTGTGTTATATATTATTTGTTATTTTTTCTAAAGAGTTAATTGATAATTAATCGAAGTTAATCAATTAATTTGCTAAAATTTCGATTAAGTTAAGTTAAACTGTCATTTCAAAAGTTAACTAGTTAAGCTATGTCATATAATTGCCCCATGCCTGGCCGGTGATGGTGCAGGAGGTGTTGTTGTTCTGACTCTTAACCCTTTGAGAACCAGCCTAGTACAATTAAGTGGACCTTCTTCACCACCACCAGGAAGGTCCCGCCAGCCCCGATGGACAAGCCAATGATAAGCAATCCTACGCCCACCCCAGCGAGGTCACCTGAGGAGGGAAGCAAGTCACAGTCACGTTTTTACAGCATCTCTCGTTATCTTATCCAGTACAGGTATCTAATTTTCTAATGATATAAGTGTGAATAAATTGATTACTATACAGCATATTTCTCTCGTCATGTAAAGAGGTGGAGTAGTGTACTTACCTGGCGTGTACAGTGGGTTGAGGGGCTCTTTGGTTGTGGGCGGCTGGGTATGGCTGTCTGAAAGCAAAGATTCACTGAAGTATTCACATGCACAACGCAACCTAACCTAACCTAACCTAACCTAACCTAACCTGACTTAAATAAACACACAGGGAATACTTTCTACATTCTTTACTTACTTGTTGTGGTGGAGGCGGTGGTGGTTGAAGTGGTTGGGGTGGTGGTAGAGGTGGTGGTGGTGGTGGTGGTGGTGGTGGTGGTGGAGGTGGTGGGGATTGAAGTGGTTGTGGTGGCGGTGGTGGTGGAGGTGGTGGAAGAGGTGGTCGTACAGACGGGGTCAATCACCGGACCAAGTGACCCCGATACAGCCACCAGAGTGAATTCCTGAGGGGGGTTAGGGAATAGATTGGTGATGGTGGCATGGTGTAATATTGTCTTCCTCCATCTCCCTCCCACTCCATCTACCTTCCTTCCCTATCCCTCACAATTTCCCTCCCCCCCCCACCATTAATAGACGTTTGGGTTAGGTTAGGTTAGGTCCTAGCCACCCTGGCCCAAACCAAACGTCCGTGGCCACAAACGACCCACATGCCAAATCACTATAGAGTACCTCATCATTAGTCTTGTGTCCGTGGAAGTTGATGCTGCCATTGTTTACAGCACCGTTGATGTTGGCCCTGGCGGTGATGCCGGGTGTCATGCGGCGGTACAAGTCGCGGCTGAGGATGCTGATGTCTGGGTGACGGTACAGCAGCACGAACTCCACCCAGACCTCTCCTGTAGCCTCGTAGATGGTCTGTAGGAGAGCCAGGAAGACGAGGATATGAGGAGGAGGAAGAGGAGGAGGAAGGGGAGAAAGGGGAAGAGGAAAAGGAAGATGAGGAAGAGGAGGCGGACGTTGAATGAGGAAGAGAGGATAATGATGAGGAAATTATTGTAACTTTTGTATTTCATTTTAAGGCAAACAATTTAATGCTTTTTTTGTTACGTCTTAGTTTATGTGACTATCAAGTGACCTGACCTTGACCCTGACATGACCTGACCTTGACCCTGGTGATCCTGATGACGGAGATAAGGCCGTACTCAGCCAGCTGCATCTGCCAGTGCTCATTGAACCTGGCTGAGGTCAAGAGAGGCGTCGTCACTACCTCTGGCCACGCAGACACTGTAAGGTCAAACGAGGTCAAATAAGGTCAAACTCAACACGTTACTTCCTGGTGTTTTGTAATGTGAGTTGTATTAGGTTATTTTTATTCAATTTTAATAACAGTACAGGAGAGGTAATTGGTGTTATGGTTGTTTTGTTAACTATTGTTATGATTTGTTTTGGTGGGTGTATGGTGTGCCTCTCTCTCTCTCTCTCTCTCTCTCTCTCTCTCTCTCTCTCAAGACCAAGGCCTCCTCACCGTCAAGCTTAAACTTCAGGTGATCTCTCCAGTTGGCAGAATAACAGTCATACGTATCGAACACTCCCCCGTCACTGTACACATCACTGGACCGACCCACTGACTCCAGGTTGAAGTCATACAGCTGGTAGACGAAGGCGGCGCCCTGAGGGATGACCCCGTGACTCGTCTGGATGTCCTGTAGAAGGTACACGTGTCAGTGACGTATATGGAGATAAGTGTTAGTTATTAGTTGTTCACCTGTTCTGATCCTTTGTTGATGTGTGGTTTTAACCCCTTGAAAGTGATGGTTTAACCCCTTGAATGTGATGGTTTAATTCCTTCAATGTGATGGTTTAACCCCTTGAATGTGATGGTTTAACCCCTTGAATGTGATGGTTTAATTCCTTCAATGTGATGGTTTAACCCCTTGAATGTGATGGTTTAACCCCTTGAATGTGGTTTAACGCCTTGAATGTGGTTTAACGCCTTGAATGTGATGGTTTAACCCCTTGAATGTTATGGTTTAACCCCTTGAATATGATGGTTTAACCCCTTGAATGTGATGGTTTAATCACTTACACCATCAACCACTTACACCATCAACCACTTACACCATCAACCACTTACACCATCAACCACTTACCCCATCAACCACTTACCCCATCAACCACTTACACCATCAACCACTTACACCATCAACCACTTACCCCATCAACCACTTACCCCATCAACCACTTACACCATCAACCACTTACACCATCAACCACTTGTAACTCACCACTAGAGCTGTAACTCGAAGACCAATTGGCACTTGACGCTCCTCAAACAGCCGGTCACCCATGTCAGTCACTGTAGTCACGTTCTTCTGTAACACCACGAGAAGTTACGTTACGTTACTTTAAGTTAGGTTACGTTACGTTACGTTACTTTAGGTTAGGTTAGGTTACGTTACTTTAAGTTAGGTTACGTTACGTTACGTTACTTTAAGTTAGGTTAGGTTGAGTTACGTTACTTTAAGTTAGGTTAGGTTGAGTTACGTTACTTTAAGTTAGGTTAGGTTGAGTTACGTTACTTTAAGTTAGGTTAGGTTGAGTTACGTTACTTTAAGTTAGGTTAGGTTGAGCTACGTTACATTAATTTGATCAACTTTTGCTAGGTTATAATATTAAGTATGATTAAATTAAGTTAGGTTTGCTAGGTGTAATAGGTAAGATTAGGTTAGGTTAGATGAGGTTAGGTTAGGTTAGATGAGGTTAGGTTAGGTTAGGTTAGGTTAGGTTAGATGAGGTTAGGTTAAGTTAGGTTAGGTAATGAGAACAAGAGCAATAAACACTGACGGCGGTAAAGGTCCACTGCCAGAGGGTGAAGGCGTCGTCATCAGTGGTTGTATCCGCTGGCCAGTCTGTGCGTTGTCCCCTCCACTCCAGCCCCTGTAGGAACCTCTCCACCCTGCAACACACACACACACACACGTCATCTCCCTACCTAACACACACACACACGTCATCTCCCTACCTAACACACACACACACACGTCACCCATGTGGCTTACACTAACTGTAAACACCACATTATTAGATATACGGTTATAATAACTATGCAAAAGTTGGTTCCTTAGGTTTGGCAGTTAGTGAGGGGCAGTGAGGATACAGTACACTGCACACTAAGCAATATTTCAGAACACAAATAAATAATGTGGCTGGCAATGTACTCGACCGTAAACTCTTCCTCAAGGTAAAGCTAGGTACCCTCCCATCCCCTCCCTCCCCTTTTCCCCAGAAGTGACCTTAGTACTCCCAGCAGGGACGTCAATACCCCAGCAGTGACGTCAGTACTTCCAGCAATGACGTCAGTTCTATCAGCAATGACGTCAGTACTACCAGCGGTAACGTCAATACCCCAGCAGTGACGTCAGTACCCCCTACAGCAGGAGACGTACCCTGGACCATAGTAGGTGTAGTTGGTGACGTCAGTCCCGAAGAAGGCATTGGGACTGTCAGCCCAGAGGAGGTTGATGTCAGTGATGTCAGCCCAGTCACTGCGGGAGTCGTTGATGATGGTCACGTGACACTTACCAACCAACTCTGTACTGAACGAGAACTCCACACCTGGGGGGGAGGGGGAGGGGTTGTTAGTGGTGGTGGTGATATGATGATGAGTGATGGTGATACGATGATGAGTGGTGGTGGTGATGAAAATAATAATAATAATAATAATAATAATAATAATAATAATAATGACAACAATAACACCAATAAAAACAACACACTAACTACAACACCAACAAGACACCATCATCACCACCACCATCCATCATCACCACCACCACCACCACCACCACCACCACCACCCCTACAGTACACACCATCGTCAAAGTCGAAGACCTCACTGGTGGGGACGACCTCGCTGGCGGAGTTAATCACGTCGTGGTCAATCCTGTACAGCTGTTTCTCGAAGTCATACCATCCCTGAGGAACCATCCGGGGCGGGGCACAGCATGGGGCGTGACGGGGCACAGCAGGGGGCGTGACGGGGCAGGTTAAGAGATAGAGGTTAGGTTAGTAAGCTTTGGTTTATAATGTTAGGCTAAGGTAAATTAGGTTAGGTTAGATAAGAACATAAGAATGGAGGAAACTGCAGCGGGCCTATTGGCCCATACTGGGCAGTCCCATTTACACCCAACCCCTATTGCTCATATATCCATCCAACCTATGCTTGAAGCTATCCAGCGTATTCGAGTTAATGATGATATTTGGTAACTTGTTCCAGTCGTCCACTACTCTATTTCCAAACCAATGTTTACCTATTTCGAGCCTAAATCTAAATTTTTCTAATTTAAAACCATTGTTACAAGTTCGCTCCTGGTTGGATAGTTTGAGTACCTTTGTAATGTCCCCTTTGTTTAGCCCTGACTTCCATTTGTACACCTCGATCATGTCGCCCCTCACTCTACCTCTCTCGAGGGAGTGCAAATTAAGATGCTTTAACCTGTCTCTGTACTCAAGGTTCCTAATGCCCGGGATTAGTCTGAATTCTTTCCAAGGATTCTATATCCATTCTGTAATACGGTGACCAGAATTGAACTGCATAATCCAAGTGAGGTCTCACAAGCGCAAGATATAGTTTTAGGATGACCTAGCTAGTCTTGTAACTAACACTCCTTTGTATGAACCCAAGTACTTTATTAGCCTTGTTTCGAGCAAATACACATTGTTTACTTGGCTTAAGATTCTTACTTATCATTATTCCTAAATCTCTCTCGCAGTCGGATTTCTTAATAACATCGTTGTTCATCTGGTATCTGGTTTCCCTGTTTACATCTCCTATACTGAGTACTTTACATTTGTCCACGTTGAATTTCATCTGCCATTTTTCAGACCATTCGAAAAATTTGTTTAGATCTTCCTGTAGTTTTGCGGAGTCCTCGTCAGATTTAATTACACGTCCTATTTTAGTGTCATCAGCAAATTTACTTATGTTGCTGTCTATGCCGGGATAAAGAGATAGAGAGACAGAAAAATGAGCAGGCATAGAGAACGAGATAGAGAGAAAAAACAGCGAAATAGAGAGAAAGAGAGACAGACAGACAGAGAAAGAAACAGAGAGACAGTTGAAAGGACGACAGTACTCACATCAGCCCAGGTGAAGTCATGGATGGTGGTGTCCCTCGCCTCTAAGCTGAAGGTGAAGAGGCGGTCCTTACTGAAGTCTGGGAAGGGATGACCAGGCTCGGGCACCATGGCTGTACAGTAGAGGTCTGGCGGGATCTGTGTGACCAGCGGGTAGGTTAAGTTAGGTCGAGTCAAGTTTGGTTAGGTTAGCATGATTAGTCT